TTCGGGAAATCGATCGGTCGTTTGCTGATCAACGTTCGATGAGCATTTAGCATTGGTGAGCATTACCTCATAACGCAAGAGATACGTATATCCGTAATGTATGTACGTAATTACCTAGGAGACATGTAGATCAGTGTGCACGTTGCAACGTTCGATCGTTGTACATTCCATCATCAGCAGCCAGACGGCCAGTCGGGCCAGGTAGTAGTCAACCACTTTCACATCAGCACGGCACGTTCGCCAATGTTTACGTATATTAACACCGTGCACCCTAAAATATCGGATAATGTTAATATAAAAGCTTCGTAATAGTAGAATAGTCTTCATATATACCCAGCAAACGAGAATGGATTGAAATGAATTGAAATGAATACAGATTTTCAGAAATATTGATTCACGAATGTTAAAATGAAAGCTTTTCAATCCTGAATGTATTTTTATTCATTTACAGGAATTGCATGCAGCATATCTCTATGCTTTTCAATCTAAAAATAATATTAGCTTTTTCTGTGCACACACATTGTGAATACTGTTCAATTCAAAATTTTGAATAGGAAATGAAGTTTTTCAATGCATGTTTTTCAATCCAATTGCATCCAATTGAATCCAATTAAATAAAAAAAAATATTCGCTATTTAAAATACGCATTTGGATAGAAAAAAATTTTAATCCATTTTAATCCATTCTCGTTTGCTGGATACATCGATATAACTGACTTTCAACGAATTCGAATTATCTCTGCAAAAATTAATGTGATTACTTTCACAACAATTTTTCCTGTGTAACTTCGTCGACTCATACCCGTTTCTTATACGAATGTAGATTAACTTTCGCGTTATCAGCATGATTTTTCTAATTCTGAGAATTTAAAAAAGATATAAAGTTAGATAAACTGAGATTACAAAGTTAATCTACATTGGTATAGAAACGGGGATAGAAACTGACAATCCAATTACGGCTGTTTTCATTTCTAAATTAAAAACATGTATATATATTTGGTGTATAAACGTCACGTAACAGAGAGATCGTATGTATAATAATCTTTTACATAATCTTTTATATAAATGTCGAGAATGAAAAGCAAACGCGAAGACGCATGTTATTAATTGGTTGCGTTTAATAGAAGAAGCATCTTTGCAACTATTGATTCTCGAATAATTCTCTAATTGATTCTCGTCTTTAATTTTTAATTGCTGGATGAAATGTATAATCAATCATAATGAAAAATATTTACAACGGTAAGCAGGTTTTCACAAAGTTTTATTTTTTCTACCATTGTTTACGTGAATACATATCGTACGTGAGTTACAGCACCGATTGAGTGAGAATATTTTTTCGTACGTGTAGAATAAATAAATAATGGAATCTTTTCTAAACTTAACTCACACAATATCGCTTGCCATTTCGTCCCGGCAATGATAATGAATACGATTTTCATACGGGTTGTTGACGCGCGAAAGAAATAATAATGCAAGATTTTAGCATATTTTCTCCTCAGAAAATTCTACGGCCTTTCTATGGCGACGGGTGTTATATATATGCATATAAGGAAGGTAGTATTGCATATATGAACAGAAACAACGCAGGTGGATACGCAAGTTCACGCACAATAATAACGTATGGCTATCGCTATCGCCGCCACCATCGCCAACGGCAAGCGGCGAACGGTATGCAGCCCGCGAAATGTAATGAAACCGCGAAAAATATTTAACTCACGGACTTTCACTCGCACTCATTTAGGACCGTCGACGGAAAAAAGATCGTTACTGCAGGCCGCACCGCGCACGTCGTCCGTGCCGTCTCGTTTCGCCTCCGATCTGGCTCGGGATCGGGATCGGGATCGGTCACTGAAAGATCTTTAAGCAAGATCGCTTTCGCAAATGTCGAAACGTGTGGATGACATTTCCGACCGTTTTGGCGTTCTGAAGAAATTGTCGCGGTTTATGATATATCGTGTCCTTCAAACATGGGATGATCCCTGTCTATTATTGGCAATTCTGTGTAATATATGGACTGTGATAATCAGAGCTTCGCATAATCATCGAGCAATACGAAAAAGTTTTGTCCACGCAGCTTCATTTCGTCTCATATCTCGTTCTTCCGCGTCGATTCAAATTTATTCATTGTTCACGCCGTTCATCGGATCTGCCGCGAAATCAAACATCCGACGCGGGTACTTTCATTTCTAAGTGCGGTCCCAGCAAACGAGAATGGATTGAAATGAATTGAAATGGATTCAAATTTTCGGAAATATTGACTCACGAATGTTAAAATAAATCTTTTTCAATCCTGAATGCATTTTTATACATTTATAGGAATTGCATGGAGCATATCTCTATGTCTTTCAATCTAAAAATAATATTAGCTTTTTCTGTACAGTTCTGTGAATACTTCAATTCAAAATTTTGGAAAATGCAGTTTTTCAATCCAATTGCATCCAATTGAATCCAATTGAATCCAATTGAATCCAAAAAAAAGTATTCGCTATTTTTAAAATACGCATTCGGATAGGAAAAAATTTCAATCCATTTTAATCTATTCTCGTTTGAGGTGTTAACACGCGACAGATTCGAATTGTTGCTTGGAGAACGCAGGAGCGACATTTGTTGCCGATTGCAACACAATCCTACGCGCCGTAGGAGCTACTTGGAACATAAAGAAAGAAAGTGACAATGACTTATGCTGTCGTTGATTAAGTAACAGATAATAACTGCAATAAGAAATGTAGAGAGATTCCTCGTAACGGCGCGGCATTGCGAAAAACAATTAAAGTAATATACGAAGAAAGATACGCGTTTTTTCCTGCTTGCTTATTCTTATGGAAAATACAGAGTATTTCTTTCCGTACGCGGCTCACAAAAAAAATGCGTGCACGGTATAATTCCACGTTTAAACGCGCGGAAATAAGAGGATTCGTATTCGATGAATGCGATCCTCGTTTATTGCCGTGTGTTTTTACGTGTTCTCTGATGGCGTATCGTATAATTATACCTCTCTGTCCTTTTACTTATTCTCTCTCTGTCATCCTTCTACTTCTCATCTCCGTATCCGTATAGAGGACGTGCACACGGATGTGCGAACTTTCACACGCGCATCGTGCCGTAAATTCACTGCCCGCGTTCGCGGCGCGACGGTCCAAAAGAAACTGAAAGACTCGACGTTCGACGAGTGATCAGCGGCACCGAGATCGCCTTCTTTCGTATCGTGGAGATTGTGGGGATCGTCGGGGTTGTATCCTGACCGTTCGTCTTCTTTTGCATGGCTAATTTGTTTATTCCATCTCTTTCATATTTTTTGCTCCCTTTCGCACTTAATCCCCGTTTCGCGTGTTGTTCATTTACGTACTATGATGAAATGACAAAATCTCAATAAAATATTTTGTGTTTCAGACACATTTTTTCCAATATAAATGAATATATGTGTATTTTAATATTTTATTAACAAAACTTGCAGCAATATTGCTATAAGTTCTATATTGTTGGGAAAGTAATGTTGATTAGGACATTAATTTTTGTAATTATCAGTTTGAACGTACCTTATCGAAATATATTATGAATCTCCGAATAATAATTGTTCTTTTTACTATACTTCTGTAGACTCAAATTTCAACTCTCGTTATCTCTTATGTCTAAATATATTCTCATATGATAATTTTGCTTCGGAAAGCATGCGTGTATCTAACTTTCATTTTCTATTTTTTTTCGATTTCGTAACCTTCAATAAATTTACAGTGTTAAGTATATATACTTAAATTTTTCTCAAAAGATATCTTTGATGAGCTGCCTCAAATGCACGAACAATGAATTCCCAACATTTGGGATGACTTCAAATTTTGATCATTAATTTAATTGATTTAATTATCTTATCGAATAACATCTGTATTTTGTTAATGTCAATAGATTTATCTTTTTTTGTAACACAATAGATTTCAATAAATTCGATCTTTTTCTTTGTAACACATGGAAAGAAAAGTATTGTTCGTTTTGTCTCTCGGGAGCTGCTCGAATCGGGGTCGCTCCGAATGAACCCCGTACTTGAAATTGTTAAGAATATGAATTATAATATCGATCTGTTGGTCCCAGCAAACGAGAATGGATTGAAATGAATTGAAATGGATTCAAATTTCCAGAACTATTGATTCACGAGTGTTAAAATGAATGCTTTTCAATCTTGAATTTTTATTCATTTATAGGAATTGCATGGAGCATATCTCTATGCCTTTCAATCTAAAAATAATATTAGCTTTTTCTGTGCACAACAACACAATTGTGAATACAACACAATTGTGTTCAATTCATAATTTTGAATAGGAAATGCAGTTTTTCAATCCAACTATATCCAATTGAATCTAATTGAATTCAATTGAATCCAATTAAATCCAAAAAAGTATTTGTGTTATTTTTTTAAAATACGCATTCGGATAGAAAAAAATTTCAATCCATTTTAATCCATTCTTGTTCGCAGGAAAATAAGCAATTTGTTATTATACGAAGTACTACAATTGATCTCTGCTTATTTGACTTGATATTAAGATTATTGTTAAGATTACACTGTGATGTTTTTTAAAGCTTTTGTTCCTCTTTTGCTTTCTTTCCGATTATAAGTTCTGTTCTAATTAAATGTGACTGGACTTAAATGAATCATGTATTCAATTTATTTAGAAACTTTCAACAGAAATACAGGATTCACATTACGTACATCTAACATTCATTATTATGATGAATGCCGAAATGGTTCATTTCGATCGGTCATGATTCAAAACGAACAATGCTAAAGAATAAATTTAGAGACGGTCAATTGAAGTTTTGGTCGAAGAAAACTTCGACCAAAGCAGCAATTGAATTGGCCAATCCCAGTCGTGAATTTGAAAGTGGAAGTGAGCTCTTAATTGTGATTGGTCGATTTGTGCATCATTTACTTCCTTCGGTCAATGGACGATCGTGATATCGTTGTGTTCCAAAACACGTTGGAAAGCGTCTTTGTCGCCAGAGTCGTCGAGTATACACGTGTATACACGTGTGACGATACTGACAATCGGTGTCATCGATGATAATCTTCAATAATCTTGTGAATGGCTCTTTAGCATTGTTTGGTGAAACCCGGTAAAAACATTAATTCACCTCGTGTATATTTTTTACTCGCGAAAATAAACACACGTCGTCTTATCAGTGATAAAGATGACGTATCTGAGTTCGTGGGAAGAATTCGAAAGAGGCGCCGAGAGGTTATACCTGCAGGATCCGATGAACGTACGTTTTACAAAACTATAAATATAATTTCTTTAAAATCTTTAATGCTGTTTGTTCTTTCGACACTTCACAAAAATCTCTCAATTCGTATATCATGTATATAAGAGATTATGATAACGCATGCCAGAAAAGCTTGTACTTTGATATGTTCTAGTATCAATATGACGTTTTGTACCACTTTGAAAATGCCCACTCATTCAGTTTGTAATTATTTACATAACTGCGAACTAAAGAATGATGACAAAAAAATATATATATTTGTTATAAGGTTTTGTTTAAATTTGTAATGTTTCCTGCATAATGTATAAGATTATTTGTTCCTTTTTCATCAATTATTTTCAATCTTCTTTTGCCTTTTAATATTGCAATGAAAGCATTGAAGAAAGAAAAAAATAAAATATAATCTAGTAGCATATGATGTATACAAAATTGCAAAATAAAGTGCTGTGTATAAATATAATTGAGTGAATAACTATTTAGGTAACATATTGACTTCTCTTTCTGTCTTATTTCAGACTCGATATACGATGAAGTATTGTCACAGTAAAGGAGTTTTATGTCTAAAGTTAACAGATAATCGACGGGTAAGCAATTTTAAATGTATCTTAAGATCAAAGAATGTAAACAGTTTATGTATTTGTTCCTATTATTAAGAACACCAACAATAATCAAAACTGTTTACAGTGCCTCCAATATAGAACAGAAATAGCTCAGGACTTAAAGAAAATGGAAAAGTTCATAGGCAATCTCATGAGACACATGGCATCCAAAGACATTTAAATAAGATTTGTATGTAAGGAATATGTTTATCATGGAGACTAAAACATACTACTTTTATTCAACAATATTTTCTTCTCGCCTCACATGATCCAACGATCCATATCAATTTTAATTAAGGTATGAACGTTATTTTACATGTACAACAGGAGCATATAAAACTGTTTCGTTTTGTATTAAAATTTTATGATTGTTTTGGGTGACTCCGTTGCCTCCTCGTTAATGTTCTGAAACAATCAAATTCATTGTGTATATTAAATTAATATACTATCGATACTATCGAAGATATAATATAAAGAGGATTTTTCAATATTTATAATGTATTAACTTTTTTATATCTATATCCAAAGTGTGTCCTTAAGTGATGCATAATGTATTAGATATTAATAAAGCCAGATACAAATCAAATCGAGATCTGATTTAATACTTGAGTAAGAAAAAGCACAAAGCACAAAAACAAGCACTTACGATATAATGGGTTGGAGAACAGCATCCAGAGTAGTATCAACAGGAGGGTAGATTTCTTGATTTGAAGGCAATTCATAGTGTACCTCTCCCCCTAATTGCAATTGTGTCTATACCAAACAAAACCGTTTTACTAATCTACTATTTAGAAGAATAGTATCATTCCACATTATGTTATTACTTCATAAAATGAAGCTATTACGTGTACTAGCATGCATATACGAAAATGTATCGCTGGAAAGGGTATGCGCGATTCTAATGCCGCTATCTCGGATATTTATGACGTGATTAGCCAAAACTTGTAGGAAACTAGTAGGAAACCTTAGCCACACATCTGTATATAGAAGCACTTGGTGATTTTTTTCCATTAAATTTTTGTTGAGAAGTAAGCACGAATTATATAAAATTCGTGTTTACTCATCAATTTTTATTATTTTTAAGTAGCTGATTATAAAGTAAAATGTGCATCGCTCGATCGTTGCTTATTTTAAAACAAATATTAACAGAGATATGATATAATAAAAATGCGAGCAAACTGGAATACGTACTACGTGAATAGGCTTATTGCTGTCAGCAGAACTTGAGCAGCAACTTGAAAAGTCCTGCGGTGTGCTTTCCCCGAGTCCACTGTCTGCATTATTGCCTATTGACATTCGGTTGCTACGAGTATAATAAAAGTCCTTCTTCGTGCTATATTCGTTTCGAGCTCCGGGATACTTTGCCTCAACTCGATTGGACGTTGCCGACAGTAAGTTATAACTTCCATCACGATAATGCCGCATGTGTCTTCTTTCCCTTTTGCCAACGGATCCGACAGTTCTGAAAGGGAATCTTTGACAGTCTTGGTACCTCAGTCGTTTTAGCGACTAGTAGGTCCACTGTACTTGACTCAGATTGATGCCTGCTTTTCTTTTTTTTTTTGTTTGTTTTAGTATACAGTTAATTTACACACACTTCGATTATATTCTTACGGTGCACACGTTATCAAAATTAACGTAAAATCACAAACTCCATTAATACATTCGCTTTTTTTTTTGTAAACTGTATCGCAGCGCATTTTAAAGCATAACTTTTTGAAGATACAAAGAGATTGTAAAATAATAAAATGCACAAGATGCGCCGGGATGGGATATACGAGGAATGTCATAAGAAAGACTCGGAACATGAAGTGTCCCGAGCCTCGAACGTTGACATCGTCCGTCCTCCCAAATTACCAACATTTATTACACAAATACATGGCGCATACTGTATAATATACATAATGCATGAGAAATAAAAACACACGGATAAAATATGACCCCAGTATGAAGGCGATCGGCACGCATCGCCTTTGAAATTCCATGGAACACAGCCAGAAGCGAATGAGTGCCACAGCTAGGACGTAAAAATAAATAGGTGCGACAAGCAGTTAATCTCACTTATTTATTAAGGATTCGTCATGCTTCAAATAAATAATAAGGGGCATGCTTAAAGTAGATAATATACATGCTCGAAATAAATAAAAAAAAAATACATGCAAGGGGGAAATCAGGATGAGGGGGTAACTAAACAATGACTACGGATCCCGTCTCATCCTCCAATTGCGGAGGATGGTTGTGAAGATTGCAGGCCGTCTTGAGATCATCGTACCTAGGCAGGGACGATGAATCTGTGTCGTCCAATCGAGAATTGTTTGACTGTAAGGGAGATTGCTGTACAGATTGCGACTGTACCACCGTGTAGGATATCTCTCGACGTTGCTGCTCGCTCATTCCACTAGTGTCGATTAGGCCAAATTCCAAGTGTCTGAAAGAATATGTTATACTTTTAATTCTCACGATCGATAAATGTCAGCAGTCATAAAAGCATGGACTAACAAAAATAAAATTTGTTCAGTAAATTCAAATTGCAATTCGTATTAAAGAAAAAAATCTATGTATGAATTGTTTTTTGCGGTCAGTGTAAGCCTGCAAATATGTCGTAAAACTACGACGGTAACATTCATAGTATTTGAGATATATAATATATTTACTTTCGAAGTTCATCCGGCAATGGTTGTTTTTGAGAAGGGCTTCGATGTCTGCTTCTGTGTCTTCTTCTGGGTTCCGTGTGACTCACCTATGGCATATTAATCAAATATCATAAACAAGATAATCTTGTGTAGCGATCGCGAATAATGATACTTACAATAGCTTTTTGCACACCTTCTCCTTTTCGTTTCTGCGCCTCTCTCCATTGCGGCTCCGAATCTACCAACTCGTGTCTACTGTGAAAAATAATATATTAGGATTAAGTTAGCATTTATTGATCTAATCTAAAAGAAAAAATTCCTCCTGTATAGAAAAGAAATTCTTTTATTAAGGAAAAATGTATGCAAAAATAATGATGTTAGGAAAGATTAATGAACCCGTTATTGATGGGAACAAGACTCATTATAATCAAACTGCTTTAATTACACACTAATGCTTATAAGGGTTCGTGATTTGAATTCATCAAGGAGGTACTTTATTTACGAAACAATTATGAGAACGAGATGTTATCGCGATGAGAGAGAGAGAATGTAACGCTACGTAACTAAAGTTAATATGTAAATGTACCTAGAGGAACGAGAGTTTCTGTGTTTTCTGCGATGTTTTCGATGGCCGGATCTCGTATCTGAACCTCTCGAAAGCTCAGACTCGCAATCGGAATGTCTGCTATGTCGACGATGACTATGACTATGACTTCGTCTACGGTGACCACTTCGACTATGACTATCCCCCGAACTTTGACTCTCCACCGAACTGCTCCGACGTTGAAGTCTACTTAGGAGCTACGTCGACAGACAGCAATTTATTAGGCAGTTCAGATGCGGAAACTTTTATATAATGCACTGCGCGAATATGTTTGACCCGTCAACAAGTTGATTCTTTTGTTTATTATGATTACCCGGTTTTTCACCATCTGATTAACTTGATAAAGTTAACTAAATAAAAAACCAGGCTTAAGCCATACGCATATATATAACGTTCTCATTTAAGTAAATGTTGTGATCAACTTTATAGTTGAATTAAGCATAGATTTATCATTGATATACAGGCGAATATAATATAATCATCAACTAACCGCCGGCGCCGTTCCCGCGGAGCGAACGGAGCGAGGACTAGACGAGGTGTAAAGGCCGCGAGGTTGACTCTGCGTCCACGGCGCGCTTCTTGTGCTTCTCGGACTCGATGTATTTATCTGTCTTTGCGTATTGCACAGTATATTACCGCTGGATGGATTGTTGCTTGGATTTGAGATTACGGTGACGGGTGTTTCAACAAACGAACCGACCATTTCTTGACCTTCAACGACTCGTCTCTGCGCTCTTCGACTGGGAGTCCTTTGAAACGGCGGTGGATTTCGTCTAATGCCCGCGTGCTTTTCCAAAGTAGATGGAGGACTGTACGAATGAAAGCGAGAGTACGGACTAAGGGGTGGTGGACCGGTCGCCATTAACCGGAAAAAAGCTTGATGTTCCAAGCAACATTTCCAGAGGTGACGACAGGCTCCTTTCGATGGTGTTTCGAAGCCATGCGTTCTCTCCTCAGAATTTTTTTCGCTTACCCTTAGCATAAAGTATCTGCCCTGAAAATTGATGCATTCTTTTTGGCATTTCGTAAAACAAGAAAGAAATATGAAGGAAAAATCAATATTTGGCAGTACTGTGTCATATTCTTATGCGTTTCAATGTTTTATTGTAAAATCAGGTTTCGAATTTACTTGAGAATTAAGCACTTAAAGAGAAAGAAAGAGAGGCAGCAATTTTAGCGAGTTAATAACACTGCAGAAATTATAAATTATACCTTATAGTAGATTTTATTTATTCGAGGCCAGTAATAATTTCCCACTTTGGTTTTGTTCCGTAACAATATTATTCCACTCGGTGTTAGACCCAGAAAATATTCCACACTATCCTCACCCTACGAACGAAAGTTACAATATTGCGAGATTAATGCATAATCGCGGCATTAGTCATGTCGACATCAATAACACGCTTACGTACCAATACGGGATGCAAATCTACCCCGTACATTTCCAGCCACTTCACTTTATCCAAATAATTTAATTCCGCTGCTGAAGGTAATTGTCCTCTGAAAAAAATCGCAAATATATGCACATTCAAAAATTAAATTTACATTTTTCTGCTACTTACATAAATAAAATATCACTAATATAATAAAATAAATATATCAATTGTTTAATCTTGCTAACGCGAAAAAATATATGGTTCTTTTAAAATTTTTGCATGATTCGATTTTCTATTATAATATTTTGTTATAAGGACTCGAATCAGTACTTTATAAATAAGATATAAGCTATAGACTATGGATAGTCACAATGTAGACACTTCATCGTAAACACATCGGACAGTTTTAATGCACATTATTCGAATTTTAAACATCACGGTTGACATACATAAGAGTTTTGTGAATCTCTACTATACGATTCTCCAGTTCCGTGGTTTGGTTGGCGAGAAATCGAAATTCGGTGACGTATCCGGGCGAGTGTCGTCTAGGATCATAATCTCCAAGTTCCGCTGAAATAACAGCACATTATTCTCGGACGTGAAAGGAAAAGTAATTATTTATATC